GGGGGGGGGGGGGGATGATTGAAAACTAACTTGAGAATAAAAAAAATAAGTGTAATATATGGTTCTTACCATAATTTTGTATCGCTGGGTGAGTTTGAGAAGATTGATAGCCATCTGAAACCAATAGGTAATTAAATATTTAAGTGAAATAGTTAATAGTTATCTAACATTTTGAGCACAAGTAAGTAAGCCTGTAGAAATAAACATATTCCGGTATTTTATTTATTTATTGAAAAAGTAACGCAGCAAGGACAGAGTATATTATACACAATTTAACAAGTTGGAACATTCTACTTAACCTATTACACCATTTACGTCGATGCCGAACGTACATTAACATTTATTGCACGAATAATGGTACAGAAATTAATAACTACCCATTCTTTTTAAATCATACATTTTGTGGACGGACAAATGACAAATCAAAGTATACCAATAATTAACGTATTTTAAATAAGTCATCATTATTGGTCAAATGGAATTTCAAAATCCACACAATATAAGTGCACCAACCATGTTTTTGAAAAAAATTATTTTTCAAAAACAAAAATGTGTTGGGCTGTAACTCGGTCAATTTTAGGTTTAGGACCATGGTTAACGGACCAAACTGATCTACTCATATCTGGTGATAAAAATAGGGGTTTCTGTTCAAAACTGAAGTAGTATTGAGCCTTCGCGAACCAAAGAAGTTAAAAATTTATATTCTGTACAAATATGTACAAATAAATGTAACTATTTATCAAGATTATTTTTTTAGTAAATTTATTTTTATTTTTTAATCTTAAATCAAAACTAAATTTTATTATGAAGACACACATATCACTTTCCAGTTTGATGTTAACATTAATTATGCACTCAATATCGTAGAGTGTAGACTATCATTTTGCTTGATTTTTTTATTGTTATTGTTGAGATTATGATACTATACTGAAGGTCAGGGGTCAGGAACTAGCGGCTCTTTAATATGCAACCTGCGGCTCTTTGGAAAATTCCCACTAATATTAAGTAGATACGTTTTTTTGTGTGTTATTGTATTTAATTAAATAATATTATACTTGTATAAACAATAATAATAATAATAATAATAATGAATTAATGAAACAAAGTTTTTCTATATTTTCTAAGTTTAAGACGTATCATTTTTTTAATGCCCTCCAAATTTTCAATGAAATGATAATACTATCTTTATTCTAATATTCTATAATATATTGTCTATAGTATATACTCTACACTAACAACTGCAACTAAAAAAAGGTTGTTCAAACCTGTGCGGCTCCCTGGACATCATGGTTTTGTAATTTTTCGAAAAAATGGCTCTTACGAAAAGGTTCCCGACCCCTAGTTTAGGTAATAACTAGGTAATACATTTGTTAAGTTTACGTTCCATTCTGACAAAATGTAATGTCTCACTAAATTTAATTTAATTTTAGATTCTGAGCGGAGAGATGAATGATTAATTTTACAATGATGTGTGTTTTTTTATTTGTATAAATTACGTAAAATTGCAATACACAAATGTATAAGATTTTGATTTAGATGAAAAAGAACTGTAAAGAATACGTCTTATTTATTCAGATTTCAGAATACGTGTTTAATAGGTGGTTATTTGTAATAATTTTTAAAAAGTATTTACTGTCTAGAAATGAAATCTAATAACACATTTGACTTCGTTTAAAAAATAAGACTATACTTCGCACTAGACTATACTTCTAGAAGCATACCATTATTTATGTTATGAAAAATAGTTACATGTTACATTATAAAAATATCTTGAATTTTGAACGGTCACGAATGTTTTTCTAATTAATTTTTGCTGTAAATATTTTTCAACTAAAACAAAATTTTAAAGATAATTGGAATTACGAACGTGTTTTTATATGTTATGCGTACGTATATACCTACAGGATAACACGACATGGGTAAATCTGGGTGCCCAGATATCCTCTGCAAGATATTATAGAAATTATATTTTGTCGTTCTTTTCAACACCGAACAAGGTTAAACTTATTTTTATACACTGTAAATAGTTTTTTGATTGTAATATTTGTAATAGCACAAGTGCTTATAAATGACGAAACAAAATGGAGTAGAAAAACAGTATTAAAATTATGAATGTTTTTATGTGTGGATATAGATTATAGATATACGATCGGGTATTTGTGTAATAAGTAATAACACTATATGTCTACATATAATAAGATTTCGTTTCAAGTGTTTAATAGATGGGGCAAAAAAGCAACCACTCATGAAGTTAAAATATAATGTATGCAATAAACATTTGACACCAATAAAGACGATTGCTCGCCGAGGTGTTCGAAAAAATATATAATATGTAACACACGATCACGTACTTGACGTCAGATTCCCTGAACGTTTGACGGCGTTACTGTTGCTGATGATCTGCTCGACTATCGAGTTGCCAACATCGTCCAAATCCAACACCTCCGTGTCATCTGCACACGTTTAAAACATATATCATAATACAAATTGAAATTTAATTCCGCGAGATCGGCGCACGACGTCGTCCCTGATCCGACGCGTACATCCGCATAGGAATAATCCATGTACTGTTTAGGTACTTGATCGTAATTATTATTATATTTACATCGGCGTCGCCGTTACCTTTGACGGAGCTGGTCGTGCTGCCGACTGTTTGCAAAGCGTACATGGTGGTCGGTTAATATTGGGTTCACTGTTTAGCTATACAGCACAACAACTACAACGGGTTTTCGCGTTTACGTGACCGATACAAAATATATTATTATATTATATCAATATTATAATTTATTATAATATACATAATACTGTTATATCATATAGATATACTGTCGCTCATAACCTAAAAGCGACTGCTGATTTCCAACCGAACAACGACGACGACAAGTGGATATCGTGTAGTACCTATTGTAGTCTGTAGTCGTTATCTCGAGAGCCGCACTCATCGTGCGGTACGTTCAGCTATTGGGGGTTTTCGCGTATCTCTCGTACGACGTTCGGACAGCCGCCGAACGAGCTCGCCCGAAGTTGTATCACGTTCCGAGAGACATGCAGAGTTCGGAATTTCAGATCACGTGGCCTTGTGCAGAATTTTCAGTTGGATCTCGGACACGCCGAAATGGCGTGACATATGTGCTAGAATGCTAGATTCGATTCTCTGTGACTTGCGTCTTGATTCTGGTGTAGGCAGTAGGCGCCATCAGTATGGCATAACCTACATAATATTTTCTTCACGACCGCTGCCGGACAAGGAAAAACGTGAATAGTGGAAAAAAACACACGTCGAATAATATATTGTACACGATTTTTATTTATTCATATTATATATTCAAAAGTCAGTCGTTAATGTTATGATACAATAATAAAATGCAAAAAAAAAAAATTAGCACGCAAACAATAATTGTTAAGGCACTATATTATATGTATATATATATATATATTAAATAGTATGTATGTATAAATACATATATACTGTTTTAAATGTAAGTTCTAATGAATATTAAAGGCACAAATTCGATGTTCAGCATTTTTGTTTGCGAAAAAAATAGTTAATTTATTTTTAAGTTCGAATTCACTGGTGGTTTTAGTGATGGAAGACTAGACGAAAATAATTAATATTTTAAGTGTATTTTTCCTATTAAGCTCGATTTCAAATTCAGAGATCTGTTGATTAATTTAAAAATAGAATAGAAAATAAATTATGTATACATCAAATATAATATTAAAATAAAATATTAACAAAATAGAAAAAAATATACAGAAAAGGAATTAAAATACATTTAACAAAAATAAATATTAGGAAGTTTCTAAGTAACATGCTTAAGTTATAATTGTTTAATTTTTTTTTTTTGCTTACACTAATGCTGTAGAAAATTTAACATTGACAACAATGAACAATGAATCTTTATTTACAAGATACTGAGTTCTACTGCAATTGTGTTAATAGTAATTCATGACTCCCAGATGAAAAAAAAAACAAAGTGTTAATTTACTATGATTTACACATCTATGGCACGTGTTCTAATTTCTAACAAAAGTTATAAAAACGAGTGAGAGTTACTCATTTGTTAGTATACAACATGTAGTTTTGAACACATTTGGATCTTAAGATTTGCCCATATAAGTAGGATTTTTGAATGTTGACGTAGCTTGTCTGTAGATTGGATTTTCAGCCTAAAAATAATAAAAAAATATAAATTTAATAAAAAAAAGAAGTTTTGTTTATTTAACAATACTTACTGTGTCCCATTTGGCAATCATACGTTCTTTTTCAAACTTCGCGAATTCTCGTCTATCATTAATTGTTGTTAGTAGTTTCCACAGCAGCAGAAGAGCCATTCCAATTAATACTATAGCTCCAATCACGCCCAATATAATACCTGAAATGATATACAACAAATAACTAACAATGTACACAAACAATTTTTTTTAATATAATATATAGTATGTACCCATAAAGTAAACTTGAGGAGGACATTCACGTTCTTCTTGTGCTCGAATTACAATCTTTCCGCTTTGATCATAAGTGTAAACATACGCAAAACGACAATCGTCTTGATCATAATATGAACACATATTTTCATCTTTGTCTTCATTAGCTAAAAATTAAAATAATAATTGAAGAAAAAATGTTTTATTAGGTACTGAAAGGTCTCATATTTTACCTTCAGCTACTTTTACTATAATTGGTTTGATTGTGCAACTTTTTTCACATTCTTCAGGGGACATAGAGCCAGTCTTATATACAAGACATTGAATACATTCTTTAAATTCTTGACATCTACCTGGACAAGTCTAAATCACATAACAATTTAATAATAAATAATATTAAGTTTTAAAAATTGATATGAACACAAAATACAATCACATTTTTATCAACTTACTGGACATTTTTGACAGTATTTTCCAGAATATCTTATACCGTTTTCTTCAGAGCACTTGCATTGACCACATTCACAATTCCCACGACCAGAACATATTTCATTACTGCCATCCATTATACATGTTTCATTTGTAGCATGACAATCACATGATTCTCCTGTCCATCCTGGGATACACTTGCACACACCACAATCACATGTACCATAACCACCACATAAAGCACCACCAGATCGGTCACAGGAGAAATTATCACATTCACAGTATGTACCATAAACTCTCTAAAACATATTTTATATTATTAGTTACATCAACTTAGATAATTTACATTGAAAGTTAATTTTACCTCTTCTGGATTAGATCTAGCTTGACAATCACATTGGCCACAGTTACATTCTCCACGACCGGAACAATTTATTTCCGAGTCATTGTTCAACCGACATCCAGATACCATGTATGTATCATTACCATGGCGGTTATTGTTAGCATCACATTCACACATACGACCAAAGTGCATAGAATCACATTCACAAACACCACACTTTAATGTTCCAGCTCCACGACAGTCGGGCGATTTCTCAAGATAATCCTAAATTACATTTTAAATAATTAATCTATACTATTAGGCGCTATGAAGTTGCTACTTACAGGATGACCAACATTTTCACACTCGCATTCACACTGCATATCTAATACCACAGTTAATGATTCATTAATGCCAACAGGGTAAATTTGAAAAGTCTGTGACCAATCTTTGCGATTTGGTGGACATGATGTTACTTCAATTTCAGCTTGAAAATTGACTACAGTACCAACTTTAAGTCCATCACATTTATTTGTTTGTTTTAACACACCATCTTTATCAAGACAGCTCGAATAATATGTGACCTTTATGGCACTAGATGCTGTATCTCTCATTTCAACAGAAGACGATATTTTCTGTAAAACAATCAATAGTTATTAAGATTCTATCATATAAAGGAAGAGCATACAATGTATTGTAATAATAAATAATATGTTCGAAAATATAATATTTCTTACACTGTACTGATCTTTAACTAAATCAACAACATTTTCAGAATTTTCAGATAGAGTACCAGCTGAAGCTCCTTCAATATGTTGCATTAGACGTTCATAAACATTTATTTGTTCTCGTGTTACAGCAAATATCATATTGATTGAGTTTTGTCTTACTTTTAAATTTATCTAAAAAATGTTTAATCATATCTAATGTTAAGTAAGTTATAAAGTAAATAAGTTATTAACACTTTGGTATAGTTGTTACCTGTGATATTGATGGATAATCTTGTAAAGACGAATGTGTGTAGGTACCTCTATTATCGAGATGGCAACGACCATCATTTGGTTTGATAATTCCACCAAGCTAAAGATTTAATGAATTGTTTAGTGATTTAAAACATAACTTAAGTAATAAAGAATCTTACTTTTCCGTCACCAGCATAATGAAATCCAGCATCGGTTGAGAATAACAATAACCGTCTGGCACGTTCTCTCCAACCAATTTGATCTCGACATACGATGGCTTGCATGATAGCATCAAAACCACCTTCTGGTGCATCTAAATTACCTGAAACTGGTGCTCTTTGGACCTCGCCCTATATTAAGTATTAGATTCAATTAATTAATGTATTAAACTAATATTTTACATGCATTCAATTAATACTTTAACTCATAAATTCATTTAAAATTAATCATGCAACAGAAACATATAAACAAGCTGTAAGTCAATCACATTTTTAAGTACAATAATTTAAAAAGTGGGTATAAAACATGAAAGTTTATTAAATGTTAATAACAAATAAAATAATATATTTATTTTCGTCTTAATACATTTCTGAAAATTAGACAGTTAAGAGTACAAAATCATATTATGTTAATATTAATAAATAATATTTAGTCAATAGTTATTCTTAATGATGCTGAATAGTTTTCAATGGACTTACGGCAAATTTATTAGTGTCTTGACTGAGAGACATGACATTTTGAAATCCGTATGGAGGAGCTTCACAACGAGGACATGGCTTCACCAAGCTGAATATTATACAAGCACACAAAATATTATTACAAAATAAGTTTTGTAATAATCAAACAATTACAGAACGATAGTGAAATACTATGTGCACAACAAGCATATCCCTTATTAAACATAGATAGCCATATGGGTATGAATTTGATTAATTTATTATAATTTATTTAAAACCAATATACTCTGTGAATTTATTTGAAGTATTAAAATAGGATAATGATTTGCCTAGTGAGTGTATAAAAACATCTACAACAAATAAAAACATAAAAGCTAAAAAATATTATATTTAAACTATCTAAACTACACATGAAACTTATATACTCGTATTTCGTACATATTGGCCCTACAAGTCATGCAAATACATATTGTACAACTATAAGAGTGTTTTATTTTAACCAAATTACAATGAAAAGTATTGTTTTTAAACCAACAGAGCATTATTTTAATTGAAAAATTTAAATTACTAAAAAAATATAATATGTACCATAAAATAGTACATTACCTTTTAAACTATCTGTTTACTAAGTAATCTAAAAGGAAAATACTGTAGCAAAATCATATAAAAACAAATTGAATTGAAATGAATTGAAATCCCTGATTCCAAATATAGAATTATCATGTATAACCTTGATCAGTTTAAAAATAATGAATACCTATTGTTTGTAATTTGTATAAGCAAGACATATATGAAAGTACCTTTTTCTAGAAGGAATGTATTCATAGAGGGATGACTTTGGATTCCCTCTCACAAAGGGTTGGGACAATTGTTTTCGAATTAAGTATATTACATGAAAATTGATAACAGTTTGTATATTAGAATATATATTTAAAAAGTATTACATACTAAATATGTTATCACAAAACAAAACATGCTAATGTTTTCTATTTTTGATATTCTCTACACATGTATTAGCCCTCTCCTCCCCCAATTAAATTTTATATACACGCCTATGTACTTGCGATAGAAACAACAAAGATTTTATT